GAGACATTCCGTAGATAGTCCTTAGTATACGTTTTTGTACTGTAAATATATTTCGAGTCCTCGAGCTACTCGCCCAAAAAATTATTCCCTGCCTAAGTGTTCCTTCAAAGTTTGCGAAATACAGGGCCTTGCGTGCCGTTTCATTCAGGTATCTTGAAACATTTCGGATACAAAAACAGATTTTATTTAGTTTCTTACTAAAGCAATCAATATGGCAAGACCAGTCTAAAAATTCGTCAATATAAATACCCAAAAACGTTGTGCTTCTACCTACTGCAATTTGTAGCCCTTCAACAACAATGGGGTCTGGTTTCTGATTTTTATTTAATTTGGTTCTAAACAGTAATGTGTTTGTTTTTTCTTTATTTAAGCATAACACATTTTTTCCAAACCATCTTTTTGCCGATGTAAACAAAGTAGTGGCATTTCCCACGAGTTTAGGGATTGTTTTTCCTCCTACTAGCAGGTTTGTATCATCTGCATACTCCGGTAGCAGAAAATTTGGGGTAAGACATTCGCTGTTAATGTCATTCATAAAGACTATAAACAAAATAGGTCCGAGCATACCCCCCCCTGTGGCACACCTACTGTGCTTTGCGAATTTTTTTATTTGTAGGACATTCCGTCCTATATGTACGGTATAATCACCCTTTGGGTTCTCTTATTTAAATATGAGCTAAACCACTCAAGAGCGCACCCCCTGATCCCATAAATTTCTAGTTTTTTCAGCGGTAAATTTCGATTCAGACAGTCAAATGCCTTTGAAAGATCCAAGAATATTACACATTATTATTTGACAGTCACTTGAGTGTTGAACGTCACTTGAGAGACGTCTATAAATACGGGCATGCATAAAGCCTGTGTTCCATGCATCCGTTTATACGATGGTACGATAATACGAAAGTGTTTCTATTGGTTGGAGATCTGTCAGTTCGTAAGACGACGGGCGAATTGACAGACCTCCAACCAATAGAACGCTTTCGTATCATCGTGCCATCGTATAAACGGATACATGGGACACGTGCTTTAGAGACCACTGATGAAGAAAGCGCTCTTTTAAACAAAACATTCAGGACTCATCTGCACTTTTACTTTACTTTGACTGTTAAGATTGATCTTGTGAGATTCTGATCGTTACCAATTTTCATTTTGCAGCATTGAGTGTGCAAGTGGGTTACGCGCTGGCCAACCGAGTGAACTTGCTAGCGGCCAACATTAATAACCCCAGTAACGGATTTGGAGGCAGTTCGATTATCAACAATGAGGGCATCACTTTAAGGACGATTCTTCGTGACAGCTCAGCGACTAACATTGTCTATGGCAATGTGGCGCCCACTATACTGTCTCCTGAGCCTTTCGTGAGTTTTCCATCCTGATGCGCAATGTTGCAAGACATTGAGCATATTAAATCTATTCCTGGGTCATTTATTGTCTCTATTTATTAATCAAAATACGTTTCGGTGTATTTTTCCACCATCATCAGTTTTTCTAAAATAACAGATAGTGAAAAAAAATTTTCATTAATTTAGAAAACAACCACAGTTTGTCAACAGCCTCATCATATCACATATTAAAGTACATCACAATTGCAATACTTTAAAACATTCTAAAATTAATTAGGCCTAACAGGTGATTAGTCAGGACAATCAAATTTGGGAAGAGACTAGAATTCTTCATTCAGATACTTAATTATTTTTACTTACATGTGTAGCGTTGTTGCTACTTTAAGTCTTGGCATGCATTTGGAGTTATTAATTTTGGCCATTATCGGACACAAAACGAATAAAATACTGTTTATATTGATTTCTTTTACTCTCAGCTATTTTTCTTTGCATTCTGAGGATATTATTTTTGGTTTGCAAAATTCTTCAATATACCGGGTGTTAGTTAATATTTTATGTTTATTTCATTTAATTAATGTATGATATACTGAGCTAAGATTGTCGTCGATTGTATAAAAAACAAATGGGCAGAGATAAAAGAACATACAAAATTACCCGAAAAATAATTTATTGAGGCGGTAGAGCTGTGCTTAAAATCCACATATTTCCAGTACGAAAACAAGTTCTATTCACAGATATATGGAGTAGCAATGGGTTCTCCCATAGCAGCAA